AAAACTGTTGATTTTCAATACATGCAATGTATACCATATTGAGTTAAGTCCTGTACCAAACCGATGTTGTATGAATAAGTACAGTTACACTCCTAGAACTGAGTATTTATGCCTTTTTAACCTAAATCAAAGAAATGCATGCATCTTTAGCCCCTTTCACACATACAGACCTTTCCGGAAAATTACCGGCAATTTTCCGGAAAGGTTGTATGTGTGAACAGGTCCTTTTTGAAAATACCGGTAAATTCGTTCTGGCTATTTTCCGGAAAGAGAAGTTGTAACATTACCGGCAATTTGCCGGAATGCTGCGCTGTGTGAATGCAGAAGGAAGATTGCCGGAAAGAGCGCGTTCACATCTAGAATGTGCTGACGTGAGACGTCTGCTTTAGCCAATCAGAACAGTCAGACGCATTTACGTCCGCGCGGTTTATGAGAATAAAAGCCTTTGAATATTTTTCCAGACACTTTTAGCTGCTAGAAGTTAGTCAGATAACGTTTATATGTTCTTCTTAATGCCAACTGTGTAAATAATTATCCATGAGATGCTTATGACAAGCCGTTGTTTGTTTACCTTCAAGCTTTGCGTGTGCCTGTGAAACAGCCTGCGAGCACCTGCACACGCACATATTATGAACATCTCGACATGCGAAAGTGATCCTGCGAAAGTTGTTCACAATACTGATCATCCACAGAGTTTGTAATTTAGTCAAATGTTTACAAATACAAGCGCAGCCGTTTAAAGCTCATTTGTGGTGAATGATGTCAGAATTTACCGGTATTTTGGAATGGATGTGTGAATGCTCTTTTCCGGAAAAATTCCGTAACGTCCTCGCCTGTGTGAACAGCGTTTGTTTGTAAATACCGGTAAAGTCGTTCTGTAAATTTTCCGGATATTTACCGGTATCACTGTGTGAAAGGGGCTTTTGACAAATGTAAAGCGTCAAACTTCGATCCAAAAGCTTGCTTCATTAGGTAGACAACTGTCTTTTCGAAATTTAAACCTTTTTACATAAGCAAAACGTTAGCTAATCATTATACTAGTAGGCTTTTTTTTTTCCAAGTCTACAATCTGCCATGACTATTCAAGTGATGTGTTGTGTGATGTAAAAATCTAGATAATTTTATAAGCAGACCACAGAAAACAGTACAAAAAAATGGGCAGTTTAAGACCCTTCAAGTTACCATTTTTGATAACGCTTTTCAATAAAGGTGTAATAGTTAATAGTTCATGCATTAGTTAACATGACTGAACAACACATGTGTTAAGCATTACTTAATCGTTGTTAATGTTAACTGAATAAATTAATGTGTTAATACATTACTTAACATCAACTAATGGTGAGAAATGACTATTGTTAATTTCAACATATTTTAATGCACCTCTTTACACTAACAGCCTAGTTAGTTCATGCTTACTTAAACATACACTAATAAATGTGTTGATGGATTAAAAAACAGCACTTAACAATGAATAGCACATGTGTTCAGTAATGCTAAATCCTATACTAAATAAATATACAGGCCCAGTTTCACAAACAGGGCTCAGATGAAGCCAGGACTAGACTGTAGTTAAATTAGGCTATTTAAGCCACATTTATTAAAATGGCCTTTGAAAAATATATTACTGGTGTGCACCTGGAGACAAAAAAGGACACTGACGTATTTTAGGACATCTCACAGCAAAGTATTTTGAGTTGAGACAGCTCAAACATGCAATTTATTCTTGATTAGCCTTAAACCTTGTTTGTGAAACTGGGGGAGGATGTGTAAATTACAATTTAGTTAATGCTTAATAAGTTAAATAGTTAACATGAATAAATAATAAACAGGACGATGCAGTGGCGCAGTAGGTAGTTGCGTGGGTTTCCTCCGGGTGCTCCGGAGTCCAAAGACATGCGGTACAGGTGAATTGGGTAGGCTAAATTGTCTGTAGTGTATGAGTGTGTATGTTTCCCAGAGCTGTACGGGCATCCGCTGCGTAAAAATGTGCTGGATAAGTTGGCGGTTCATTCCACTGTGGTGACCCCGGATTTATAAAGGGACTAAGCCGACAAGAAAATGAATGAATGAAAATAATGAACAAATGTTAGTAACATATTAGATAATGTTGAAGTAGTGTACACTACAATAAGGTTCATAATTCTATAAGCAAATGCTTTGTTAATGATAAATCATGTTAATAAATAGTAAACAAGCACAAATAACATGCAAGTTTAAGTTGCTTTTTTTTTTATACTTTAACACTCCAAAACCGGTACCCTATTCATGATTGTAAACTCAAACAAAGCATGTGTTAATGGAATTATGAACCTAATTGTAGTGTACGCTTTTAACATTATCTAATGTGTTATTAACATTTGTTCATGCTAACTAACACATTAAACTAATGCGTTAACTAATGCATCACTTGACAGATTAATATGCGTTTTGTTTACACATCAGATTTAGTGTTGCTGAATAAGTGTTATCCATAGTTATGATTATCCAAGTTGTGTTATCTAAACCAGTGTTTCTCAACTGTTGGGCCACTCTTGGGTCGCGGGAACATTTTCAGTGGGTCGTGGAGTGTGTGGTAAAAAAAATAACAAAAGTTAATTTTTAAAAGTTTTTTTTACTTATTTTGACGTTTATATTGAAATGTGTGCACAATAACTGTAATGTTTAACATATGAAATTTCATTTAATTATAGCAACAAATAAGTCAAATCGCAAGTACGACCCCGAATATGTAAAGTGTGGATTAACATATATTGATGGCAAAAACGACTTAAAGCCTCAGTGTGTCATAAGTAGTAAGGTGCTCTCACAAGAAAGCATGAAACCTTCTAAATTAAATGACATTTAGAAACTAAAACAACATGTTTTATTAACAGTTTAGTTCATTGTAACTGAAACTTTCCTTACCCTAACCAGTGTTTACAGTATTTGTCACTTTTACTCTGTAATTTGATACATGTCTTATGATTTATCTGTCACTACTTGTGTATGTTAACAAATAAATACAAATGAATTATAATTGCTAAAATTGTATTGTAGTTCCTAAAAATTTGGGTCGCGGCTTGATGATCATGTAAAAATGTGGGTCCCATGGCCAAAGCAGTTGAGAACCCCTGATCTAATCCATGAAGAAATAAATACATTGGTGTATTTGTAAGTACACATTTAATTAGGCAGTTAATGTAAAGAGGTCCATTAGAATAACAGTAAGTTAACATTAACCAAGATTATATAATGCTGAATAATATTCAATATTCACTGTTGGTTTCTGGTCACTAATGTATTAATAACACATTAATATAGGTTTAGTTAACAATAACAAACATTAAGTGATGCTTATTCATTCATACATTTTCTTTTCGCCATAGTCCCTTTATTAATCAGCGGAATAAATCACCAACTTATCCAGCATATGTTTTACGCAGCGGATGCCCTTCCAGCTGCAACACAACACTGGGAAACACCCGTACACACCCTTTCACGCACATACACTACAACCAATTTAGCTTTAATCAATTCACCTATAGCGCATGTCTTTGGACTGTGGGGGAAACCGGAGCACCCGGAACAAACCCACACGAGCACGGGGAGAACATGCAAACTCCACACAGAAATCCCAACTGACCCAAAAAACCAGCGACCTTCTTGCTGTGAGGCGATCATGCTACCCACTGTGACGCCCTGGTAAATAATGCTTAACAGATGCTAATCCATGCATGTCCATCCAAGACAAGTATTACCTCGTTTATTTTCTAATTTATTGATACCAATTAATGGGAATGTATGTTGTGACAATTGTTAAAAAGGTTCAACAGGATAAAATGAAATAATTGTAATTCACCCGATTTAAAAGAATTATTTATAAACTTAATTAATCTAACAAACTTAACTAATCAACTTTAGTTAAGCTGCCTAAAGCCTGGCTCACACTGCAATTTTGGCCATGATATGGTTATCTGAGACAAAGTTTTGAAATCCTACAAGTTATTATTAACCAGTTATTATTAACCGGTTATATTAAAACCAGTGTTCTTTGACAGTTGGTTTGACATTCCAATACAAGTCTGGCAGTGTCAAAAGCTTAAAAACAATTGCTGCAATGTGATATGACTTCTCTTATGATGACTGTCAAACTTGAGGATGACTCGAGAACGTCAAATGAATTATCTGGTTGTATTATTATGGAATGTTATGACCAAAACTAACACATCTTTAAGTTTGCTGTACCATTGAAGTAGTCAAACTCTGGATAAGTCTTCTTGCATGTGTTCATTTTTGATGTGTCTTGATCATCATGCATCTGACATTACAACAACAGAGACCTTACAGTGTGACATGGGGATCACAGTCTGACAAGTCACAATTGTTAAAGATTGTTAAAGGTTGCAGAGTGTAAGTCCAGCTTTAGTTAGTGTAATCCAACCAAATACTAAAAAAACATTACCCAAATGAGAAATATCACAGAGTGACAATAACTACATCAACTCATAGAGGTAAAGTTGGTTTTATATTCGCACATTGGTTCATTTAGAAGTCTCTATATTGTTTACCATGTTACTTTGAATATTCGATCGGAATTAGCATGCAAGTATGACTTGAAACAACAATAACACTTATTATTTGACTGTTAACAATTTTGTACTTTGATAGTCATTTGCTGCTAATATGATTTCGCCATTTAGAGTTTGCAAATAATACATTTATCAAATTATATTATTAAGGGGAAAGTCTGAATGTGCGAATATAAAACCAACTTTACCTCTATCTAACTCCCATGAGCAGACATTGACAAAGGAAGTATCTGAATTACTGGCAGAGTGATGCTACAGTACATGTCTAAACCTTTGACTGCATTTAATAGGTAAACCGAGCACCACAACTGTAATAAAACACGCATGCAGAACTACTTAGTTTCTAATCAACCTTTGAACATAATAATCCCAGGTTTCTGTCCAATGATGTGACGTTTTATGTCTATAACAGGTTTAGATTAGGTGTCTTACCTCTGTGTAGTCAAAGTCTGAGAGTGGAGCTATACTTTTGATGTACTCTGCTCTAGGTTGATTGGACGGGTTAGCGATTGACACAGGAGGCGTTAAGGTGCTCATTGCAGATATTATTGTCTGGAAAATGATAACATAGGCATTAAAGCAGGACACTAACCAGACTCAACTGTTGAGAGTTAATGAATTAAAGTGCATGCAATATTTATATGTAAAGCTTGCTTACCACAATTGCATCCTTCACATTTTTCCGGATATCTAAAATTTTTTGCTTTTTTTCTCTGGGCAGATGAGAAGAAAAGAAGAAAGGAAAATGTGGTTGGAGTACAAATCTCAACATTATAAGTATTATAATTCATTAAATAGCATTGTTCCTTTAGCATGTCATATATTAAAGGCATAATTGCGATTATTGGAGTTGCACATAGTGTGACCTCATTTCTAGCCATCCAAAAATATAATCAGTACAGTTATTATCAAATATAATACAGGCCAAAACTGCTGCATCTGCCCAAATAGTTGTGGCAGTCTAAGTATAATGATGATGCAAAAATGCAGCAAATACATAAAGGCTATAACGTTACTATGCTGTTGCTGAATTGATGTGGGCGCTTAGAGTTGGCACTCGAAAATGATGTACGCGTCTTCAATGACCACAAACGAGGCCTGAAAATACTGCACACGCCTATCTCTACAAACGCTGTCAACTCGAGGTTTAGCGACAGCCATAGAAACAGACAGGACGCAGAGGCGTACATTTGAAGTGTCAACATCCAATTTCCTCAATATACATGAGCACCGCGTCCGTCGAAATAAACACAGGCCCAGTGTCAGCAAATAACGCTTAATAAACAGACACTCACTCTGCGTTAAAACCGTTGACGTGCAGGATCCGCATCTGTTTGACTATAGTACTCTTCCCGGATTCCCCAGCGCCTTAAAAATCACATAACAAAACAATAACATCAAAAGCTGATGAATATGTTTATTTTTCAACAATCTTTGATGATCAAAGTGACAAATGCAAATCTGATATTTCTGTATCAGTGGTCCATATTACCCAATAAGAGTAGACGATGCGTTGCTTTGTACGCCTGTCTCTCTTTCTGTAACTGTTTCTCGATCTTCTTATTCGCCTCTCTTTGCGCCTTCTCGTCGATGCGTTGATCCTCTGTCTTGCTGTTGCCTAAACATCCCATGTTCAAATCCCTGCCTCTCCTCAAACAAACAGTAAATAATAATAGTATCCAATTCTTTTCCTGTATCGATGATTTGAAATGTCAGCTTTCCAAAAATATCCGGGGGGAGAGGTTTCGCTTTGACCCCTTTAAAGATCCGAGCGACAAATTCAGTTGAATCCTCTCGATATATTCATGATCAGGTTCTGAAAATCAGACATGAAGAGGCAGAAGCTCGGATCTACCCCTCTCTTGCTCTCCCTATTTCGCTGTAATGTGTCTGTTTGTGTCTTTGACTCAGCACTGCCTCTCTCTGTACTTACAGGAAGTGACAATCGCCACTCAACCTGCTGATCCCAGGTCAGCTTCTCAAACACCCATTATACAGTCCATTAAAAGCTTATGCAATCATTCATCATTACAAGCTGCTTTCATAAGTGGGTTTTATCTTTTTACATTACAGAGGTTTTCAAAGATTAAAGTTGTTTTTATTTTTGTAAAACTGTACACAAATTGGTTAACTGTGCCTATATAGTGGGATTTTTCTATTTAATTTATGTTTTGCTTTCTGTATTAGAAAAATGACATTGTTTTCCAGTTTTTTTTTTAATAAAAAGTCAATATTTCATGTGATTATTCATACCTGCTGAGTCGGATAATAGTTCTTGTCGTCAGACTATATGATGCTGCCAGGTTGTTAACATACTGCTGTCACTATCGAAACATGAAACTCAAAAATGAAAACAAAACCTTTCTAAAAAAGCACTATTGTGAAAGCTAACACACTTAACATGCTAAAATACTGACACCTTTCAGAAAACAGACCTCAGTTTCTCCGTGAGATCAAAACAAAACACAAGTCTGTAGTGATAACAAGCTATAGTTCCATAAATAGCATCAAGCTACATGGTAAAAAAAAAAAAAAAAAAGTGGCAGTCATGCAAACTAAGTTAATACTTTGCATAACATTCTCTACAGCATAACTGTGTAATGCTAAAAATAGAGATAGTTGCATATCCATCAAACATAGAACCCGAGGTCACAGTGAAAAGAAGGTTAGTAAGAAACCAAATTATACATTCAATTAATACATTGTATGTAGTATAACATTTTGGAAGATGATTCTTATCACACTATGATACGCAGAAGTGAACACTGGCTTGAACAAAGGGAATATTTTAAAATGTAAATGACATGAAAATAAGATGCAAAATATCATTTTAAAGGGTTTGAAGGCCACAAAAAGTAAGGCATACATAAGGCATGGCAAAATTATTATTGGAAATCTACCTTTATTTATTATAGTTGTTGGTTTTACTTCATGTATTGAGGAATTCTGGACTAATTTGGTGTGTACAATGATAATAAATAGTTTACCCTTATTTTTTCCAAGCATTTTAATTTGATTTTGAACTCCATTACTGATGAAAATCAGTCAGGTTTTATAAAAAATTGTCATATTTTAAATAACATTAGACTTGTTTTTGACCTTATTGACAATTCTGACTAGTGTTGGGCGATATCAACCAATTTGACATTGTACAATGTCTAATGTGAAACATCGCAATTTATGAATAATAATTTATTTATAACAAATTAATTATTTGTAGCCTGTTTAAACTACCACAGGGAATCTGCACACGCAGAATTCCGCAGATTTTCCGCAGAATTCCGCAGATTTCTGCAGATTTTTAGCCCATCATTAATTCTGTTTATTTACTTGAGTAAATGTGTAAATCTGAATTTATTCAGTTTTTATTCAGTAATTTATTACTTTTTATTTAATATATTAAGGTTTTAGTTATGATACTCCGCTGGATACTCCCAAAATAATTCCACAGAAATCCGCAGATTTTTACCTAAATTCTCTGCAGAAATAGCAAAAAACGTCCGCAGATTCCGTCTGGCTCTAGTAACCAAGTCACAGATAAATAAAGATAAGTTACACACAAATAACCACCTGTCAATCACTTTTTATCCGTGGGACTGGCATGAATAGGCAGAGTGATCTTTGTTGTTATAATGGCGTCGACAAAAAATGCAATCCAGCGGTACATTCTTGATAACTGTCCGACGTGCACTGCTCTCTGGGGTTTTGTGCTCAAAGCACCCCATACTGACTGCATGGAGTTCAGACAGCCTGATCTCACGAGAAAACGTAAGTATTTTACGTTTTGCCAGTTTAGTGGCTAATTCGTACAAATTCGTACGAGTTCAGTCGTACGAAATGGTACAATTTTAAAAAGGAGGCGTGGCACCTGACCCCACCCCTAATCCCAACCTTCATTGGGGGATAAGCAAATCATACTAAATCGTACGAATTAGATCGTACGAATTCATACGAATTAGCCACTAAATGAAAAAGTTACGAATTGCCGTGAGATTGTGTTGGCTCAGACGTATATACTGCTAAAGCGCATGCCACTGTGTCCGTATGTGTGTGTGTGTGTGTGTGGTCACACGATGTGGATTTTCAGCAGTATAGTGTGGGTAGAGAACTGTTCAGAAATGCTAGGTAAGATGTGGATCATTTTCATTCTTGAATGCCATTTTAAAACTAAGATGTATTAGTGCAAACAGGGCCTATAGGGGTGTGTTTTTCGCAAGCGGGTTGCTGCTGAGACGAAGGCGGGACAGAGGATCGAGATGTCGGTTCAGCATCGTGATGACCATCCGCCATCGGCTATGGACAATGACATTGTCTATTGACCCAACACTAATTCTAACCTTATTGAAGATGACAGTTTTAATTTTGTTTTTGGACTTTTTCAAAGCTTTTGATACTATTAAGCATCCTTTCATCTTTTTTTTTTTTGTTTGTTTAGAGAAATTCAGTTTAGGGCCCTACTTTTGTAATGCTATGAATACATTGTATTCTGGGGGAAATAGCTCAGTGAAACTAGAACATGGAACACAGAGATTTCCTTTAGAAAGAGGAACTTGACAAGGCTGTCCAGCTTCTGTATATCTTTTTCTTATATAGTTCAATAATAGTTTATATTACAATACAACACATACAAATGCTGTATTCCGTATGCTTAATACTATAGAACAATATAGTATATATTATACTTTTTTAATTATGACGTTTTCATTATAACTAAATTAAGTATTGCATTTTTTACAAAGCAGTTATTTAGACTCTTGTGTAAGTAAATGATTAATAAACTATTCAAATCAACATTTACATATCTTATTATTCAGGCATATGTTAATAATTAAAATGCTTTATTAACTCAAATTCATCCAGTTTTGTGATCTAATCTAAATTGAGGACTAGTTATGCTTTGCAGATCCCTTATAAATGACAATTACAGGCTTAGTATCAAACGCACAATAAATCTTTGAATCCTACCTAAAAATAAAGTTACTGTAAAGTTTAAACATTGCTGAATAACAGGAGTGTCAAATATAAAATAAAACTGGATAAAACAACAACATTATAATAATTTAACAATATATTATGATACAACATTTAAATGCAATAGTATCTGGATGCAGCCTTTATGATGCTTCAGCGATGCAATGTCAGACACATGCACTCAATGGAGTGAGTGACGTCACTGTGACGGGTAGGGTGAGGGACGGGGTTAGGTGGGCGCATTAAAAAGCATTGGATGCAGCTCAGATTGCACTGCACCAGGTCTGCATCCAGACCCCTCTCTTTAAATGTTATTCAGCAAAGTTTAAACTGTACAGTCATTTTATTTTAGATAAAACTGCAAAGATTTATTTTTCATTTGATATAGTTTCATTTGTGTGTCTCGAAATTAATTAATTCTTTGAAACGAACAAAGTTGTTTATTTTCTTTTTTTCTGTTCAGAATATAACTGAGCCATGAATTGTTATTTATAAGGTTATAATAGTTTTGGATTTTTTTATTAGTTTTAGTTTCTATTTCGTTTTTGACTTTTTGTTTTCAAATTCAGTTTTAGAGGCGGATTTACTAGTTTTTTTTAGTTTCTGTATTTTGAAATTATTTAGTTTTAGTTTAGTTTTTATTAGTTTCAGTATTAGTTTTAGCTTTTTTCTAAATAAGGATATTTGTTAGGTGCAAGATTCAAAATCAACAGAATAAATATTGTATAATAAAAACTCAGTCATACATTTTTTTGAAACCTGTATTCAGAGGACACATGAACACTATCATCTACCAATACCATAGACATCCTCAAACTCAAATACAGGAGCCCACAACAGCAGCCTTAAGTACAATTTGTGTGCAAAGCAGCTTAAGTTAGATACACAGTAGCGATGGAAAGTTCAGATATTTAACGCGGATGTTTGTACTCAACACGGCGTAATTATGCAGTCAGCGATAGTAATTTCAGTCATTTAAAACATCACCATGACCTGAAAAATGTCTTACAGTAAAGTTTTGCCACCCAACTGAACTATGATTCACTTATTTAAATTCCATTTTGATTTTCTGTTATGAAATAAACTTACGTTTTTCACCAGATCCTGTCATTTAAACCCTCGGTTTACCCGCAGTGAAGATGTTCAAGTTTAGTTCAATCTCAGGAGGCTGTCATACACTGTGTTCTGTTCACTGAATCACGCATGCGCAGTATTATCGGTTCACCGCTTCTCAGTTTGTTCTCAGTGTAACGTTACTGTTCTAATAACTGAATAAGAGTAAATATTGCCTTATTTCGAGTCAGAGGTGGGTGTTAGGCTTGTTAAAAAGTAAGTAGTTTGTGGATAAGTGCTTACAGAAGACGCGAATCGTTTCAAATGATTCAGTTCGATTTGGTGAACTAGTTCAACCGGTGCACTTAGAAGATCAGTTAAAAAGATTTGTTCACTATCACGATACAGAAATAAAACCTATTAGTGGGCACAAAATGTGTTAAAGCAATAGTTTTTAATCTCTGTATTTAATACTGTCACCATGTTGCTGTCATGTCCACTCGTTGTTTTTGTTGCGGACTCGCGGGAGCAACAGCGAGGATAAGGGCCTACTCACACTATGCCATCCGTACCGTGCCCAGGCCCGTTTCCCGGATCGTTTGAGAAGTGTGAGTGCGCTGAATCGGGCTCAAGCAAGGTTCACTTGGCCGGCCCTGGCCCGGTTGGAAGAGGTGGGCCTGAAACTGAAAGCGAGACGTGACTTTTAAGAGGCTGTTTCATATGGATTTATTAATCATTCTTACTGTTCAGTGAACGCAAACTGCCATAGTTTATTAAAGACGAGAACTCCTCACAGCACGA